AGTCGACTGATAACAGGTTATTAGCCTGAATCAAATAGTAAAACTAATTTTTGAACTCTTTTAAAAATAGCAAATAAAATCAAAAGAATGTAAAACTTTGAGAAATGTTTATAAACATGATAATAAACATGTTACAAAAAGAATTTTTAGAATTGCACTTCCCAAAAGTAAAATCTTATCATTTTTCAAAACTAGTCCAAAACATAAAGATACAAAACACATGTTTTTGATATTTTGGCTAAACCATGTTTTAAAACTTTACAAAATAATTTTATAGACTTAATAAAAGATGTATACAGTGAATATTAAGTCTATAAACACTAATACATTATTTTCACAAAAATGTATATATAATACAAAATACATTTGTTTTTCCAAAAACAATAGAATAATACATTATTTTCACAAAAATGTATATATAATACAAAATACATTTGTTTTTCCAAAAACAATAGAATATGAAACATGTGAAAGTGATACATTTGTTTTTCCAAAAACAATAGAATATGAAACATGTGAAAGTGTATAAGAATATAACTATTGTTTTGTATCTATAAAGTTAAACCAAAACAAAATAATAAATATGAAAACAAACATGTATATATATAAATATGCATTTGTTTCATATTTAAACTTGAAAACTTATAAAACCAAAACATGTATATATAACTATATATATATACAAAACAAAAACGTGTATGTGTGTATACGATTGAGCTTAAAGTACCAACACGCATAATATAAAACCTAAACTATTTACCCAAGCAATGATCTTGATCTTTAATAAGCTCTTCTTGATAAACTTGCGGATGAAGCTTGAACTTGGATCTTTAACTTGACTTGCATTGCTTCACTCCACTATTACCGCCAACCTCTATTTGATATGATCATTGTGGCTCAGTTCCATCCATCCTCCAACATATTGTTTGTCTATAATAAGTATAAAAACACAAATACTAGACAAATAATATATATTAGTTGTAAATTATTTGTTAATCATCATCAGAACAAAAAAGCCAACACTTGCTTATTATCCCAGGTGAAGAAACAACCTGAAGATTTTAGGTGATTAGGATGGCATTCATTAATGAAATCCCTAAAATCAGTCTTAGTGAGAATTGAACCCCCAAGCTTCTCATCATTGTTAATAACAAAATTAAAATCACCATATAAGAGCCAAGAATTATTCCCAATAGACTGATGAACAAGCTGTAATTCATACCATAAAATCTTCCTGGCTTCCAATTGATTTGATCCATAAACTGCAGAAATAACACTTTGAAATCTCCCATCTAGAGATTGAACTGAACATGAGATATGTTGTGCTGAGGAATGAAGAAAGTTAATATTCAGCATTTAATACATAGACATCGAATTTTAAAGTCACCATTCTTTTGATTGAAACTATCCAACAACTTCTCATATGCATAGTCTAAAAACTTATCAACACCTTCTTCATATTTTGGATCAAGTCTATCATCATCTACTAGGTCCATCCAATCTTTATTCGGTGCCATTTCAAGCAATATACTAAAATTTTCTGAAAAATAATTCAATCTAGTCAACAACTAAACACAAAGAAATGCTTAATTTTATTTGAGACTCATATGTTTATATATAGGGTCATTCAACATATAAAAGCAAAGTTGTTAACCTATATATGATGTCATTCAGAAATTATTTATTTATGCAATCATTGGTCAACATTGAACTTATATAAAAACACTCTCATAATGTTGTTATTGGTGTAATGCATAAAGCAAACATAGTCAATAAGGCATCATGCAGGATTGCAAATAATATTAATTCACATATCTTTATCACAATTTCTTAAATAATTTGGTATAAAAATACATGCAGTACTCTATAATAACAAACCTTATTTCACATGATTAAATGTCACCATATAACAAAGTAGTCAATATAATACATTAGTAAAATAACTCATTTTCATTAAAAGACATGTGACATAGGATCTAGGATTATAACTAATAAAATGACTTGTTAATGGAAAGTTGTATGTCCAAGCTTGACAAGTACGTCTGAATAGCTAAAGAAATAATCATTTAAAAATGCATGTAACTTAAGTAAATACCATATATGCTATATTGGTTTTGAAGTCATTTTATTTTTTTTCCCCGTAGGAACATCAAATAGAAGGTGGAAAGGCTTCAAATGAAGGAAGGAAACAAATAGCAGCAACGCGGACAAGAAGTAAGGGAGATAATATTTCAAGGAGGTAAAATCTTAAAGCTATTGCATTTAAATACCAGATAATTTTCCTTACTTTACACTCATATACCCTCACTTATTTTTGGCAGCACTTATTTAACCTAAAGTAAATTCACTTATATACCCTCGTATTTATTTGGAAAGCGCTTATATGCCCTAATTTTTTTAAAATTTATACTTAAATACCAATAAGTACTTAAAAATTGCACCTAAATAATATAAATTTTTTATTGCTAGTTTAATTCCTTCACATTTTAAGTTACTTAACAAATAGGAGGAGGGCTGTGTTACCAGTGGGTGCAATTAAATTTTGCTTGTAAATACCATTACGTATTTAAAATATAAACTTTAGGATTTACCAGGAGGTGCAAATAAAACTTTGGGATTTAACTGTAACTTTTTAAAACTTACAATTAATCAACATAAAGTTTATAAAATTAGATCTTAAATCTCCCAAAGTTTTAAACATTTTACAGTTAAATACCATTAAGTATTTAAAATCCTAAAGTTTTAAACATTTACAGTTAAATGCTATTAAGTATTTCAGATAGTATTTTTCCCCTTCCTGTATTTGTTTTATTTTTTAGATCATGTTTCTGGCTTTAATTGTTACCAGCGGGTACTTAAGTGCAAAGTAAAGTAAACTATAGAGTCTGTACTAAAATCAAACAATAATTACTTAAACCAAATACGAGGGCAGGTGTTATCGTCGAGCCTCCATGATGGAGGAAGAGGTCTTGACGATGGCGAAGAGGTCTCGACGACGACGGTGCAGGGGCGACGACGACGCTGGGGCGGTGCTGTGGCGTTGCCCGACGGTGACGAGATCTCGACGACGAAGAGATCTGTAGACGAACTGAAGACGATGATGACGACAGCAAACTCGAGACGATGACGAGATCTCGACGACGAACATGTGTTAACAACAGCGAGCTCGAGACGAGGACGACTCTCGCCGATGAGCTGGAGCCGACGAAGAGATGGAGATGGCGCACGATGAGTATCGATGACGAACTGGAGTGGACGAGTCTAGCTGTGGGGGATCGCACAGACGAAGAGGAGGAGCGGACGACGACCAGAGATTAAGACGATGAGGAGCGATAGCGGACAACGACGTGGGGGAGCAGACGACGTGGGGGAGCGGATGACGACCAGATATATATGGAGGCGGCGATGATAAGGAGGTGATTTTTTTTAACTAGGGCTTATTTTATTATGGCTATGGTTGATTAAATAATGATCAGGAGTTATTGAATCTTAATAATTCAGTTTGTTAATAGGAATAGGTTAATTTCAGATTATTTTATAGTTCATTAATTCGGGTTTTGGGTTTTAGTTGGGGCTTCGGGTTTGGTTATGAGATTTGTTAATAGTAATAGGTTAATTACAGTCTAATTATGATTAGGAGTCCCATCAATGAAGGTAATTGACCCTTTTATTTTTAAGGAGACCCAATAACGACGGTAGTAGGATCAAATCAACGAAGGGATTAGAAATCCGTTATGGCATCTGATCGTCGTCTTCCATTGTGGATGGATCAGCTGTAGCCATGTTTGCCATTAGGGCTTTAAAATCTTCTCCCAGACTTGTATCAGAACCCTCAGCCGAAGAATCAGAAGAGTATCCTCTCTTAGTTTGTTAGCAATTTGATCGATAATCTGCCAACCACATTCATCCTCAGACGAGGAAACATAACCTAAGCCTCTCCCGTATTTATAATAATCGTCGAACGAAGGGATTAGAAATCCGTTATCCCATATCACATTATTTCTCTATTATTTGAAATCACTCCACGAAGTGTTTAAAACTCGTTGTTATTATATGCCCATTAATGACGGTCAACTGGTCCATTCACTAATTTTGGTCGTTAAATAGCAGATTTCTTGTTGTGAACATATTGGGAAGCTGTTAAAATGATTATGAAGTATATCAGAGGTACACTGACTCATAGATTAGTTTATCAACCTGATTCGCTTGAACTCCTCGGTTATTCCGATGCTGATTTTGGAGATGATAGAGATGATGAAAAGTCTACTTCGAGACACTTATTCACCTTTGGAGGAGGAGCTGTTTTTTGGAGTAGCAAGAAACAAGGGTGTGTTGCTAGATATACGTAAGAAGCTGAATATATAGCTTGCAGTATGGCAACTGCACATGCTGTCTGGATAAGACAGTTTTTGATTGATCTTGATCTCAATTTGTTAGAAGGACATATTGATATTTATTGTGATAGTCAAGCATCAATTAGCTTAATCAATAGTAACATAAATAGCTCCAAAGAAAAACATATTGAGATCCAGTATCACTATATTCGAGATATTATAGAAAAGAGAGAAGTCAAAGTGACTTAAAAAACATATTGAGATCCAGTATCACTATATTCGAGATATTATAGAAAAGAGAGAAGTCAAAGTGACTTATATCCCTACTACAGATATGGATATTATAGAAAAGAGAGAAGTCAAAGTGACTTATATCCCTACTACAGATATGATTGCTGATCCTTTGATAAAAAAAATACCAGCAGAATCTTTTATCAAACATGTAAGTTTGATGAGACTTAGGAATAAATAAGTCTGAGTAAAATTTTATAAATAATGAAATAAGAGTTACTCTCTACGGATAGTGGGAGCAATGGTAAGAAGAAACATCTGATCTCACGGATAGTGAGAGGCATGCCACTTGGTTAATTTGGTCAAGTGGGAGATGTTACCTAGACTCGGTCTTATGGTGACCAAATCAACGTTCGTTTCTCTGTTGAGAGAAACATGGGAACATGGAATGGTTTGTTTAGAGGAAATCTCTCATGGGGCGGATCTGAAGGGGGAAATCTCTCATGGGGCGGATCTGAAGGAGGTGGAGATAGTGAGTTTAGCCCCTATAAAAGGAGAATCAATCTCCTTGAGAAAATACAACAACAAAGAAAAAAAATCAAACTCCTTACCCATTATCGGAGCCCCCTTCAAAATCCATCGCTCTTCTCTGCTTTCTAATAGCTAGGACCCACATGACATGATGCTTTGTTGTCAGACACATTGTTTGGCTTCTGAATTTGTATGCAACACTCATCCAAAAATATTCATCTAACATGATATGGGTAGAGTCACCCCTTGCTGTGTCTGCTAGACAGCTTATAGTACAGTTCTGCTCTTTGTATGGGGCTATTTTCCCTTCGGGTATAACTGTTCAAACAACTCCATTGATGCCATAAACTACATAGTTTTTCTTAAATAATATATTACTGCCCCGTTCTGTTCTATTTATCATAATTACGTTATTATAGGTAGTTAGAGATTCAAAAGTTGGTATGTGATGCATGTTCAAGTTACTGTTGTTATTTTCCGCATTTCTTTAAGAAAAACTTTCTTCTGCTCTTAGCTCTCTATTTTGTTTTGTAGATAGCTGTTATTGTTACAAATTTATTCTTGTCTGTATATCATTAACTTTCATCAGGAAAGATAATTCAAATGGAATCCAACAAATATTGCAAAGATGTTCTGAATGTGAATATCTTCAAACTAACTAGATTTGGTTTTCGATGGGTAGTGTGATTGGAAAAAGAAAATACAATGTTAATTTTGACAAGATTATTAGCTTTAATTTTTGGCTTAGTTATAGATCTCCCTTGCAATTAGCAAATATACAAGAGAGATTTTTACTATGTTGCCATTGTTCTAGAAGAAAATTTCATGTAACTACATGTGACTGACTCATTGTTTTTTGTAGGTTGAAGTGAATGGAAAGGAGACTACTACTCTTTATAACTTCTTGAATTCAAAGAAAGGAGGTTTTTTGGGTGATGGCATCAAGTGGATTTTCAATAAGTTCTTTGTGGACAAAGGTGGAAAAGTCGTGGAAAGATATGCATCGTCAACCTCACCTTTGAAAATGGAGGCACAACTTTGACAGTGTACTGTATAATTTTGCTTCAATTTTATTTGTACTTATTATTGCAACTATACTTTATCTTCCAAAAAAATAATACATAGTTTTTTGGGGTTTGTAGGAATTTAAGTGCCTTTTTTGAGGGACTATATTGCCGGTAATGTGAGTATGTGATCTTATGTATGCATAAAGGGATGCTTCTTCTAGAAAACTTGTATATTGCTGAAAATTCATTAGCTTCTTGTTGTATGTAAGAAATATTATTTATTTTTAATTATTGTCTTTCAACAATAAATCTATGTTTGCAAACTATCATGTTGACTCTTTTCTACTCTCATTGTATGTAAATCGCCATGCAAATTGAATACTTTCTTGGTTTGTAATGTGATGATGAATATTAATTATTTGTTGTTAAGTTCAACTTACCTCTTCTTAATTGTGCAGTCACTTTTATCAAGCGCACCATATATAGGTTTGATTAGGTTCCTTCTCGATAAACAATATTCTAAGTCCTGTGAGATAATGGTTAATTGACATTCATCTTGATATGCATCACGTGCAACACACATATTGCATACGTGCAACACACGTATTGCATACTAGTGTAAATAAAAACTAAAAATATGATATTAGTTGATTTTTGATATTTTTGTAGAAAATTTTTTAATTGAAAAAGAACATATGCAACATCTAGTTTCCTATAGGAAAGAGATTGAGATTTCAATGTCCCGAGCTTTTAGTCAAGTCTTATGTTCGATTCGCCTGTGATTTGGTACACGGGTAGGACTAGGATTTCCCTCTAATCCCCATAATGAGTAGCAAGAAGTTCTGCCACCCCCTAGTATTAGAGATTGAGACTTCCCATGACCATTATACCGTCCCACCTTATGTCTTCCCCATACCAATGATATATTATAATGTTATAATATAATATGTTAGACTAGGTGGTCATTTGTAATTTTAGAAAATTTTGGGCTATTGTTAGTAAAATTTAAAACTTTTAGGAAGATGTTTGTGGTTTTTAAAATTGTTATGGGCTTGCTTGTAATTTACAAAAGTTAACATGATTTTTTTGTAATTTTGTATAACTTTCAAGGGGGTGTTGTAAAGTATTCAGGGGCTATATTATAAAAACTTTACGGGATTATTTATAATTTTTAAAATTTTAGGGGAATTTTTATAAATTTTTGGGTGTGTTTCTAATTTTAAAACTTTAAATGGGTTTTTGTAAAATTTTAAAGGAGTTGTTTGTAATATTTTAAAAATTCTAGAAGGATGCTTGATAATTTTGCAAGTTTCATAGTGATGGTTCTAAATTTTTCAAAGGGCTGTTCATAAATTTTTTAAGAGGATATTTGTAGTTTTCTAAACTTTAAGAGTTAGTTGTAATTTTTTTTTTTTTTTTTTTGGGGGGGTATTTATAGAATTTTATGGTGATATTTGCATTTTTAAAACTATTTAGAGGACTGTTGTCATTTTATTATTTTCTAGAAATTATTTGTAATTTTTAGATTTAAAGAAGGAAGTTTATAATTTTTTAAATTTTATAGTGTTTTTTGTAATTTTTAAAATTTTCATGGGACTATTTGGAGTTTTAGATTTTTGAGGAGGCTATTTGTAAGTTTTCTTTATCTCAGGAGGTTGTTTGTAATTAGTTTGTAATTTTTAGATGTCTAAGAGGTTGTTTATAGTTTTTAAAATTTGAAGGTTTAATTGATAAATTTCTTGTCTTAAAAATCCGATTTTATATGAGGGTTTTGATTATTAGATTTATCTAATTATGGATAATTTTAATTTAATAAGAATTCTTAGGTGAAGATAGGTTTAGAAAGGAGGATTTTAATAATTAAATTTATAATTATGAATAGATCTACTTTGATGAGGATTATTAAATGAAGACAGGATAAGATGTCCACATGTCTGATAGTACAGATAGACACACGATCGTATCCATAACACGTGACATGTTTTAGACTAGAAATTACTAGTGTGCACCCCGTGCAAAACACGACCTCCTTTTTTTATTTTTGCTATAACAATTTTTTTTTTCAAACGCTGCAGTATTTTTGTATACACCACAGTAATTTTTTAGTGCTACAGTATTCTATTTTGAGCTACAGCAATATTTCTATGGAAAGTGTTACTGTAGCATGAATAATGAATATTTGGATTCTCCTATGAGTACATAGGAGTAGATTCCTTGCAGATACAAGATTTAACTTGAACGGGCCAACATAACACTATAATTTAAAGCCCGGCCCACCAAAACCCGTTACCCTAACCCTCTATATGTACACGCCGATCCTTAAACAGTTATACCACGGGGGTTCTTTTTGAAAGAACTCTCTTTTCCGGCAAACAAAAACAGCGGCGGCTTCTTCTCTCTCGCGCGATCTCAGTCTCAATTTTAACAAAAAATGTGAGCTTTTCATCGTTTAGATTCGTATCTATTAATCTCATGGAATTTTTATGGTGAATTTTTTTTTAGATCTAGATGAATTATTCTTGTGTTGTTGTAGAGATTTAGGGTTTCATGTTGTTTGCAGTATTTAGATCCGAACCTAATTGTTTATATTTTTCTTCCCAAGTTAGTTTTGTTTTTTGTTTTTGAGGAATATCGAGTTACTGTTTTTTTTTTCAAAACCGACTAATTAGGGTTTAACACTATCCTAAATAGTCGGGGTTGCCCGACTATTTAGGATAGTGATTAGCAGCCTAATCACAAAACCGGGTCGATTTTGATAAATAAAAAAAAAAACAGTCGGTTTTGAAAAAAAAAAAAAAAAATCAGTCCGTTTTGAAAAATTGTTCGTTCTAATAATCTATCTTGCTTCATAAAGTTGATCTTTCTTGTCTTCGATTTTGGAATATGATGAACTCTGATAAATTTATGTAGCACTTTATTCATATTTTGGGGATGTGTAAACTAAGATTTAATAAAGAAAAGGTCTTTCTACTTCTGTATGTGTTGCTTTTCTAATTTGTCCTCTTATATTGAAAAAAGAAATTATGGATAGAGAGGAATTTGCAGTTTTCCTTTATAGCAGGAGAAAATAACGTCAATGTTTGAGCTTGGTGCAAAAAGATTCGACTTTTGCCTCTTATCAATTTTTGACTTATTATTATCTGTTCCTACGTGTCTTTATTCTGAATCCACTTTTCTTCTATGAAAATTAGTGGATGATTGATAGATATGCCTTGAATGTGAAGAGAAGCTTCGAACTTGATGCTTCGAAGATCCATTATTCTCGCTTTCTAACTTAATAAGGATCATTGTCCTTTGTTCCCGGCTTTAATGCAATTTTCTTCTATGAAGTTAGCAGACAATGGATAAATATAATACTTAAATGCTAAACTAAACTCCCAACTTTGGTGCTATTATCTAAAAAGTTTTAGCTTTTTGGTGATTGTCCTATAAGAAATCAAGTCAACAACCCCTTGAGTACTGATTGAACATTGATATTTGACACTGTTACATGCAATGAGTATAAGAATAAAGACTTTGATAATAAGATATACTTATTATAGAATTTTGCAAACATGTAATTTATGATTGCATATATTCACTGTAATAGTTGATACTTGTTTTCTTAGAATTCAATAGCCCCATGTGTAAGCACAATCATGCATTGATGACATAAATTTTAACCTTTTTTAGATTTATTTATCTAATTCTTCATGAGCAAGTGTTAGCTGGATGGGAACTGCTTGTCCTTTTCTTTTTTCATTCAGCGCTTTGCATTCAACTGAACACCTGCGTCAGACCACCTGGTTGTTTCATCCAATGTTTCATCCCTGTTTCTCTCATTGTTAACATATTTTATTCATGTTCTGTGTACCTAATAAAATATGAAAGTTGAATGCTTCAGTATTTTGTAATCACCATCGATCCTAGGCCATTCAATTTTAGATGGTTTTATTTACGTTATGTAGGAATTTAGTGGTATTTGTTTTTGTCATATAGTGTGTACTTATCCATATCTCACTATTTGTTGTGTATATTGCTTATCAGTCCAACTAGCCTTTTGTAATGTGAATAAAGGAAGGTTAATATATTTGTGCTGTATTATGGAGTAAATGCATGTGATTCCAGACAGTATTTTCTTTTCTTCATAACATGTGATACATCATGGATTTTTGTTTTAAGAAATTAATAGTTATTTATTAAAGTATTCAAAATTTGTTATCTGTTGTTCAAGATATTTTTCTTGCGTGCTGCATTGTTATTGCATAAGTAGACTATGTATACGGTGAAACCTTTCACTTATTTGTGATGGTGGCTATTTACTTTTTCTCTTGCTCTTTCTAAGACGGAAGTCCTCGTTGGATCATGAATAAAAATAGGAAAGACATTCATTTGAGCTGATTGTCTGTATTATTAAATTGGAGAAACTATATTGCTGTTTCTGTTATTTCTTTCAGCTGTGTGGATCTGATTGTTAAATTGGATAGGTTATATTTAATGGTGCTCTGAAGCCGAAGCAGGGACTTTCTTTTGAAAATGCATGAATATCAATTAAATTGTTTTTGAAATTTATGCTTCAATTGCTGTCTTATAAAATTAGAACAGTGACATGACTTTGGTTATCTAAGTTCATCTGATGAGACCCAAAATAACCATTGATTTGGCAAGTTTGGAGAGAAGTTGAGGCCTAGGTCTTCATGCCCATGCACAGATTTAGTAATTAGTTTCTATACTTATCTATTTACTTACTAGTGTATATTTATAGTACACATAAATTTTGGTCCTTTCTTTACCCCCCATCTTTTTAAAGAATTGTATGATTGTAGAACCATCAAGCAGTCACATTCTATACTTGTCTGATCATCTAGATGCTTGCTAGTTAGTCTGTAGACAACATAGAGACGAGGGATATTGGTGTTAGAGCTTCTTCGAAAGCCTTTGTTTTATTTTTATGTGGTGGCATACTGAAAGTTATAAAGTTCTTGGTACTTATTTTATATTTGTATGAATTATGAAAGCCTTTCAAACAAGCAACTTCGAGTCAGATGCATTCAGCCATTAATCCCATTCATATTTATTTTTGCTTTGCAGACATGGCAGACGTGGCACCAGAAGGCTCTGCATTTGATGCTCGTAGATATGATTCCAGAATGAATGACCTGTATAAAATCTTCCCCTTGTCTAGTTAATTATTAATTGTAATGACTAGGTCTTTCTTGCCTGACTGGTATTATGCAAATTAACTCACATGCTCTTTTAATCGTGTGTTTGACTGAAGGCTCGCAGGTGATGCACAGGATTTCTTCACTTCATACGATGAGGTTCATGAAAGTTTTGATGATATGGGTCTTCAAGAGAATCTTCTGAGAGGAATTTATGCTTATGGTACAGTTCTTATGCTTCCGGCTCCTCAATGATACTTATCCCTTTTTCTGGTACCTGGTGATTTGATGATAAGGTTTCATTTGTAGGGTTTGAAAAACCTTCTGCAATCCAGCAAAGAGGAATTGTTCCCTTCTGTAAGGGTCTTGATGTTATCCAACAAGCTCAGTCAGGCACAGGGAAAACTGCAACCTTCTGTTCTGGAATCCTGCAGCAGCTCGACTATAGTGTTGTTGAGTGCCAGGCCTTGGTCCTTGCTCCAACTCGTGAGCTGGCGCAACAAATTGAAAAAGTCATGCGAGCACTTGGTGATTACCTTGGTGTAAAGGTTCATGCTTGTGTGGGAGGAACAAGCGTCCGTGAAGATCAGAAGATTCTTACTAGTGGGGTCCATGCCGTTGTTGGCACACCTGGTCGTGTCTTTGACATGTTACGAAGGCAGTCCCTTCGCCCTGACTACATTAAGATGTTTGTTCTTGATGAGGCTGATGAAATGCTTTCACGAGGTTTCAAGGATCAGGTTCTTATTCAATCTGTGTTCTCTTAATTTCTTTTATTACTACCACCAACATTATCAGTTTGCTGAGATGTATTGTAAAACATGGCAAGCAAAATTAACAACAAATATTTCATTACTCAATAGATGAAGGTTTTTCTTGAAAAAATAGATATATATGAGGGTTCTTTTATAACTTTTGATAGATGAAGTGTTTAAAAAAACTGGGTAATAGGTGAAGGGGTTCCTTGTAATTTATCATTTTATTTTCTTACAGATAGACTGCCTGAGTAAATTTTTTTGACTCTTTTACCCTCGGTTAATTTGTCGAAAAACAATCTTCTATTTGAGGGCAAAAAGAGTCTAAGATTTCACTCTGGGTTTATCTGAAAAAAATAAATTTAGAGGACTAGTAAGTTCAAAACAATGATATTACAGAGGGTCTATCTGAAATTAAGCCTAATAAAAAAACTTCACAAATTAAATTTGTTTTGAACTTGATGTTAAGTTTTTATTGGTTGAGAGGACTATCCTACTAATTCGCTACTACGGCTAGTAAAATGAGTATAAAGAGTCTATTTTGGTAATATAACTACTTATGACTCAATCCTTTCCCAGATCTATGACATCTTCCAGCTGCTACCCTCAAGGGTTCAGGTTGGCGTATTCTCTGCCACAATGCCCCCTGAGGCCCTCGAGATAACCCGCAAATTCATGAACAAGCCCGTGAGAATCCTTGTCAAGAGAGACGAGCTCACATTGGAAGGTATCAAGCAATTCTACGTCAACGTTGAAAAGGAAGAATGGAAGCTCGAGACCCTCTGTGACCTGTACGAAACCCTAGCTATCACTCAGAGCGTCATCTTTGTGAACACCCGACGCAAGGTTGATTGGCTAACCGACAAGATGAGGAGCAGGGATCACACTGTCTCAGCTACACACGGAGACATGGACCAAAACACTCGAGACATCATCATGCGCGAATTCCGTTCTGGCTCTTCTCGTGTGGCAAACCCCTGAGCTCTTTGAGATTCTTAGGCGGTGGCATGTCTTGGATAGCACGCACTTTTTTCGGGTCAAGAGAAATTCCCTTGGAGGTAACGATAAATCCCAGGAATTTTCCACTTGATACCCGAGGAATGATTTTGTCGGGTTCATCTTCAATTGATGTGCTCGCATGATATCGAACATTGTCTTCAAGTCTGTAAGATGATCACCTTTGTGTTGGCTTTTTACTGCTATATCGTCAACATAGCACTCGATCTTCTTACGTAGGTGCTCGTGAAAGATAGCATTCATTGCACGTTGATAAGTTGCACCCGCGTTTTTTAGGCCGAATGGCATCACCGTATAGCAATATACCCCCAGTGGTGTTCTAAAAGCGGTATGCTTTTCGTCTTCTGGGTGCATCTTGATCCCGGAGAATTATCTCCATCGTATTGGACGAAGTGGACGATTTGGGAGAAAAGGTGTTGCTATCAACTTTGTGACCCGTGAAGACGAGAGGATGCTCTTTGATATTCAGAAGTTTTACAACGTGGTTGTTGAGGAGCTTCCATCTAATGTTGCGGATCTTCTGTGATCGAGTCTAAGGAAGTATTTCTGATACATGTTTGAGTTATTCTAGGTTTTTTTTCTTGAATTTATGAGTTTCTTTTCTTGCACTCCTGCGGCTTAGTGCATGGTGTATGGTGCCTTGATAACCTTACATGTAGGGTTGTTTTGGGTTTTGGGTCTTGGTTAGGTCTGATATGTGTTACCTTATTTCTTTTCAGGTTATTTATGGACTAGTGTAGAACTGTACGCCACAAATTCATGAGCAATTTACTTTTTTTTGTCGGATTCCCTCTTTTAGAAGCGTTTGGCTGATTATGGTATTTTTTTAATTTATGAACATCATTCTTTCTTCCTCTGTTTCATGTTATTATGTTTTGTTTATGTGGACAAGCGATTACTGTTGAATCCATTCCCATGTTGAAGAGTGGCTGGATATGCATTACCTATCAATAAAGATATGATCTCATGTTTATGCTTATCACAAATATAGATATATGCGTTACCTGTCAATATTGTCGAGCATGGTGATTTTCTTTTGCACTCTTTTTAACTGAAAAGAAAAAACTGAACTGCGCTCTACACGCTGTGGGTAAAAAAGTGATGCCATCTAGGTTTTAGCAGAGGTGCGATTGCTGATGAAAAGGCTCGAGCGGTAAGTATGTGGCTACACCATAATAATAAGTATTTACGTGATACATAATATCATCATGAAGTGAAGGCTGATGAAGAGAGAACTAATTCTTCAAGTGTGAAGATGACAAAAGTATTAGCTGATAACTATTTACAGCTATGTTGTGGATCTTTAACATCAGTAACATTTTGTCTTAGCCTCTTCATGCGCATTTTTGTAAAAAAAAGAAAGAAAAAGGAAATCAATAGGGAGTGCCCTTTTTTTTAATAAAATATAATGCTACTCTTCTTTTTCTTCTAACATGTAGAATACATTCTTTTAATGAGGGTAATAAGTTGCCAATATGTACTAAATGTTTTGACTACCAAAATTTAGTCATATATTCCATTATTGCCAACAATGACAGTTGCTATGGAATACTTGAGAAGACACAAAAAAAAAAAAAAATTCCGTTGATATATAAATCCGAAAGTAAACGGGTGACTCTTTGATCATAAGCAACCTTTTCACAAGATGAATGACTTAAATCTTTTGGAGGGGACGTCTATGCTTTAGAATTCATAAGATGATTCAATTTTGGCTTGTGTAGATCCCAAGCTTATCAGCTGCTACGTTGACTTTAAGCGATTCATTTTTAAGTAAACTGATGGATTAGAGTGAAGACTAGAATACGCATAGATGAAGATCATTTAGTTGGGGACTAAAAATCACGAAGGGGTTGCTATGAGAAAGAGAGGTTTCTACTAGTGCTTAATTGCATCCAAATACCCTATAGTTTCCACTATTTTGCACTTATATACACTTAGGCCCGTTTGTTTGCATTATTTGGAGGGGGAAATTAAGCCTGCCAAAGTTCTGAAAAAGTCAGAACTTTGGCAAGCTTTCTTGCAAAATCGCCCTAATTTGGGGCGATTTTGCAAGAAAGCCTGCAAAAGTTTTGACTTTTTCAGAATTTTTTTAGGCTTTCACCCTCCAAAAATTGCGTCCAAACGGACCCTAATGAGCAAAAGTTGATTAGGGAATCCTTTTCTATTTCAAAACAAGTTCAGTCCCCGTAGGTTGTTTAGAATGACTTGATAATGGGTGTTGAACATTATACCAAGTGTGGAAACAACTGATGCTATTGATACCCACTTGCCACACGGTCTCACGGTTAAATTCCTTATTGTTAAAATGTAATGTTTTTATTAGTAGTTCGTTAGAGTTAATTGAGTTAATATTGTGTTTAAATCAAATTTAATGGGTCATGTGTGAGTCATGTAGGTCACATGGGTTTGTAGTCATGAAGAGCCAAATGAACGGCTAGGGTCTGATCTCACAAATAATGTGGAATGAGACAAATTTTCAAAACCATCCGGTTTTGAAATTTATTCCCAAAAAAAGACCCCTTTCAACCTTAATTTCAAAAACAGACCTAGTTGGATGAAACTGGGTCTGTTTTTGAAAAAAAATTTCCAAACTTCACGGGAGTTGAACTCCCGTGAAGTTTTTTCTCATAACAAAACTTCACGGGAGTTCAACTCCGGTGAAGTTTGAAATTTTTTTTTTCAAAAACCGACTCAGTTTCAACCAACTGGGTCGGTTTTTGAAATTAAGGTTGAAATGAGTCGCTTTTTATAAATAAATTTCAAAAGTGGATGGTTTTGAAAATTTGTCCATGTGGAATGTAAAAATATTTGTCATACGAAGAAGAAATATAGAAAATCAACTTCTCACCCCAAATTCCTCTAAATCATCATCTTCACCTCTCTGCAAGTTCTCAAAATCTCCCTTATTAGTCAAATCGATGTCAACACTAACAAAATGTCAGACCATATTCTCCTCATCTGACTCGATCTGCTTTCTGCAAAGGTTCTGAGATCTCACTAAATATTTGGCACCTTCATTGTCTATCTAACCTGATCATCCCTGATCTCTCTCTGTCTTACTCTTCTACACGATTCTTGCAACCGCATGGCCATATTCCTCTGCGTAGTTTCTTTCTTTCTTTCTGTTTTCTTTCTCGCCTCCCTTTCTTTCTTTATGAAGAGATATAAGAGGATGGAGGAGCTGTTTTCATGTGCTTAATTGCTATTTGTTGGCCTTCTGAATTTTCTTTAATAGAGAGTCCTAATGCCTCTTAAAGGCATACATAAGACTCATGTCATAGCGCCTTCAAAGTCTGTCATATATAGTTGAGTTTCTTTTGCCCTGATTATTGCCAATCGTGGCTCTGAGTAGAACTTCCGGTGCAGTCTGATTGTGCTATTTCCACACGTGAATTTTTCTGTCAGAAATCATTCGAACTCCGTAATTGTGTGCTGGTCTCCAGACAGATATATACCAACGAGGTATATCGTTTAGGAAAATTTGAAAAAAAACGTCCATGTATATTTGCACACTGACAAGGTAAGCACTACTAGGAGGTATTTATCCGCGTCGCGTCCTTTTTTCTTGAAATAAGACACTAAGCAAAGTGATTTCATGGCTAATTTTGTGCGTACCTCCTCCTTAGGGATGGGTTTAATTTATACCTTTTGGATAGTTGTTTTGAATGTATCTAGAATTTTTTTTCATGATCATTACGTATAGAGACAGTTACGAATTGGTTTGCCTATTCTATGCAAACCCTGTTCTAGGTTCATATTTAGACCCGTATCATGATGTTTTCGTATGGCGTATTATGGTATTTAGGGAGCAAGTGGTTCATACTGTAGAAAAATTCAAGCGTGAAACAAGTTGCTCCTTCATCTAGAGTTGAAAAAGGCCCCATGTTGACAATGAAGTTTAAAAGGATACGCGAGTTTTCTAAAAGTGTTTACTGGAAACTGATCTCTTGCCTGGTGATTTCCTTGGTCTAATTTCATAAGAAACTAACCTTAGGTTGAGGGCAGTTGGAGATTTGCCAATGTGCTTCCTCCCTTTTGACTTTGAGGCTTTAGACTTTTGCTTTGTAACATGCTATATTGACTCTTTAGAATATATATCCAATTGGATACTCCACATGTAGTAGCTAGCTCAACTGTATATATTCTTTATTTTTTTCTCCAAAAAAAAAAAATCAGTTGAGGTAGCTATATGTGACTGTGAATCTAGATTCAAGGGAGTTGTTTTACATAGTTTTATGTCCAGTGGATAATATTTGTGTTGAGAAACCCCTATGCCGAGATCCAACCAAATAGCCGAGAGAGATAAACAACCACACCAAACAATAGCACAAACAATCAAATACCAGATTTTACGTGGTTCGGCGAGATGCCTACGTCCACAGGGCAAGGAAGGGGGAGTTTTCACTATTAGAAATCAAGAGGAACAAACTAGGGTTACAAATCTCTCATAAACCCTCAACAAATCAACTCTCAATCTCTCCAATTGCTCCTAGAATAGAAGCCCAAAGAAAACCCTCTCAATCTGCTCTAAAACCCCTTGCTTACAAACCCTAGAATCAAGTTTGGGTATTTATAAAAAAACCCAAACGAAACGGGTCTGGAAAACAAACCCAGGCTAAAACCGCTACGGCGGTCGATCGTGGTGGTCGACCGCGATCCATCGCCGGCTCGACCGCACGATCGACCGCCACACTTCACAGAAACATGCCCAAAAAATCAGAACTTGTCTGCAGAGTCGACTGCCACCAACAAGAAGCCAGTAAGCTCGATGTGCTACGAACGCGGTCGACAGTTGCGTCGACCCGCCAACCTGTCTGCCTGCCAAGCAATATTCCAGCCATTTCTAAAAATCTCCACCTACGGCGAAGATTATACCAAAACTGAAGCGACATCAACCAACCAATGACCTCACATTGTTGCATCCAGTACGCCATGGCAACGGACTCATGACACGGACCTCAATCCACAAAACATGTCGACGACCCAACTAGGATGCGGACAATCACCCAAAACACTGTGTCTAATCACCAAATCGGCTGCATCAAAACTGACTGCCTACGTATCCTCTCTAAGGAATCAAGCCTTCACGTAGTTCACCCAATGGCCTCCAAAGGCCCTCAGTCCAAACTGCGGCTGATAGCATCATCAATGACCCCAAACTGAAATGATCCAAATACCTCCACCTGAGGTGAAACAATGGCCGTATCCAAGCTATATCTACCAGCTGCACTCAGATCTACCAACTCGTCATCCGCATCCGTATCCAACTGATTCCCACGCTGTGCCACCTCAGCTGGAAAACCTAATAATGCAGAATGACCTGGAGTATGTGGAGTAAGCTCCACCCAATGTGGAGTAGCATCACTCTCCACCCGCTGCGGTATCCCTCTGATCTGATCAATACTCTCTACCTGCCAAGAGTCCAAAGTGATAAGCCTGCTCAGACCAAACTCAGAAGTTCCCAACTGATAGCCGAATGAACTCCTAAATCCCAAATGCGCAGTCGGATCCAATCTCACATCAACGACGTGACCAAGTGCTGGGTAGCCAAATATCCGACGCCGACCAAAATCTGAAGCAGCTCCATCAGATCTAACAACTCTACACGCAGCAGTCGGCAACCTCATAAGATGGCCCAAACATGTCAAAGCCTGAATACCAAATCCACTGCTCGACAACCAACGCCGATCCTCCTCCAGAAAAGAACGGCCCACTAGATCTGCCATCTCATCACGTCGCCCCACTGTCTCCTCTCCTCTGAAGTATCTCCAACTGCCATGAGCTCGGCACCAATGCAAGAAAGGATCCATACTAGAACTAGTACGACGGGTAACCTTCCT